ATTCTGAAAATCTGATTAATTTCTGTCAGGACTGGGTATCAGTTAGACTCCTCAACTGCTGATCTGTGTATTTGCAAGCGTGATACGCAGATTCTTCCCAAGAATAGGGTAGGATCTGACAAGATCTGTATATGGGGCTCAGCCTGACCATATTCACCAATAACGCTTGAACTGACAGAGTCGTAGGGTAGGTCTATCTAAGTAGAGAGTTCAGTCACAAACAGATTTGCCTCTGGCCAAAGGGCTGAGACATTACTAGGACACAGCCCAGTGGTTAAAAGGAATTTGCAGCTCTGTAGGTAAAATTCAGAACACTGTCACCACAAGTGTGCGACCACAGAGAAACACTGAAAATCTGATTTCTACCCGAAAGAGCAAAACCTAGGGCCGTGTTGGAGAATTCGAGGTGAGATTTGTACTAATTATACTCTCTCTCAAACACAGGTCATTCATCCAATGAGTGCAGTTCAGTGTGAGAACATAAACGTGATCAAACAGTGAATGCCACTCACAGGAAGTACAAGGGGGTAGTCAGACCAGGATTCAATGTAAACTCACATTGGAATTCTTGCCAGGCTGAAAGCAATCTTGGGGCTGATTCATCATCAAGAGAAGATGAATTCAGTCCAATTAACAGCCTGTCCATCAGCAGTGTTTGAGAAAAAACGAATACGCCCGGAACTTAGCGTACTCATTCTCAAGCACAGGGATGCACGAACAAACCAATGGGATCAGTGAAGGAATCAGGCTCAAGGTAGCTATACCAGGAGAAGGTTTCCATCAGCTGAACACACACAGGTAGGTTACTGTGATACGCAACCTCACGCCCCCTCGTGACTTCCCATACCGGGTCGCCGATCAGAGTTATAGGAGGGGCGTGGCCGAGGATTTTTGGCCGTAGGGGTTGAGTCTCCCGGTCGGAACGGGAGGCTCTCGTTTCGAACCAGAGGTTATCCCGAGATCGATCTTTCGCCACTGAGTCCCGGGGAGGTCGGGTCAGTCCAGGGTAACGAAAACCGAATAGTTCCGCAAAGACGAGCTGCCGCGGTGAATCAAAACGAAGAAGGGCAGCAGGGGGAGGAGGCCACGATGGCTA